AAATCTATTTAAAAATGCTTTTAGGGGAGCAAGGTGTGAGGTTCCAAAAACTAAGAAATAAAAATGCTTTTGCTGGAATGTTTGCTATTAGGATTAATATAATAAACAGGTGTTATAGCAGAATGAAGCAAATCAACTTGAAGGTATTATTCACACTGTATGTGGGATTAAATAGTACTTTTTCCTTTTAGTTTTAGACCCTTTTTTGACTCAATAGAGTACTGAATTTCAAATTCTAATGATCCCCCTATCTACTATCCCAGGATAAAGCAGGACACTAAGCCTGAAATGGACCCTTAGAGATGTCGTTCTGCTCATCTCTGAGTGGGCAGAAGGGGTAAGGATGTGTGTGTATGTGTAACGTGTGTGTGTTGGAGACAAGAGAGAAATTTTATTTTATTTTTTTTTAAGATGGAGTCTTGCTCTGTCATCCAGGCTAGAGTGCAGTGGTTGGATCACAGCTCACTGTAGCTTCTTAACTCCTGACCTCCCAAAGAGTTAGGATTACAGGTTTGATTCATTATACCTGACCAGAAATTCTTACACATTGTGAGGTCCTATTTACTAAGGTAAGTAGCAAGGGTTTTTTTTTTTTTTTTTTTTTTTGAGACCGAGTTTCGCTCTTATTGCCCAGGCTGGAGTGCAATCAGGCAATCTCGGCTCACTGCAACCTCTGCCTCCTGGGTTCAAGTGATTCTCCTGCCTCAACCTCCTGAGTAGCTGGGATTACAGCCACCACGCCTGGCTAATGTTGTATTTTAGTAGAGATGAGGGTTCTCCATGTTGGTCAGGCTGGTCACAGACTCCTGACCTCAGGTGATCAGTCCACCTTGGCCTCCCAAAATGCTGGGATTACACGTGTAAGCCACCACACCCAGCCAAAAGTTCTTTTGAGACTATTATTGATTCTCATTTAAGGTCAAGTTCTTGGACTTAATTCCCAGCTGTACCAGACCTAATGTGTTATTCCCCTCTTGCCCTCCTAATGTCACAACTGTCCATCTGTGGTAAAATAAGTGGTACATAAAGTTCAGAAAACTATTGTATAAAGAATACTGACAAGGAGCCAGGTAACAAGACTCTGAGTCTCAGATCTCTTACTAGGTATGTGACCTAGGACATCTGATCAGCTGATCCTCAGTTTCCCTGAGTAATTTCTGTAGCACTCTCACTCCACTTAATAGTGGCCTGGGGATCAACAGGACTGAGGGAAGTCATGTAATCCTGCTCCATAATCTACAGTATACCACAATCACAGCTTTTACCTATAGCAAACATCACAATTTAAAAATTCACTATTATTCCACTTAGGCTTCAGAACTTCACTGAATGAGGGTGCTACCCTCATTGTATAGAAAAAGTGAGAAAGTAAGTGATTTGTATGGCATGGCTAAGTCATAGCAGGTAGAATTCAAACCTCTGCCCTCAGTCTGGGGCTGTTCTGGTGCCCATACCTGCAGGCAACCAAAGAGCTTTTGTTATCCCTCCCCCATGGCTGTGGCACAAAATGTACACTGCCTTCCTTCCTCTAGAAAGCACAGGTTATTAATGTGCACACTCTTTCTCTGGAACAAAATGTTTAGATTTAGAGAGCTGTGGGTAAACTCCTGATCTTCTGGATAAAATGCCTTATTTCTCAAGTGACTGGAATCCTAAGTGAAAACACGGGGAATGTACAGATAGGTGGCAGTGTGTCAAGAACGAGAGATGCTTCCCTCAACTTCTTCAAGCCCCCTATTGCCTAAGTTGGCCCAATGCCTAGAAAACTAAACAAATTCAGTCAGAATTGGGGGAAAAAGCACACCAAAGTAGGCTAACAGGATCGAAGTTTTGTTGGCTTGGAGGCATTTCGGTGAAAAACCTTGAAAACAGCAGCAGACTCTAGACTCTGCTGGTACATCTCTGTAGATGGCCAACAGGCAGAACTGGGACAGGACAAATAAGACTGCATGGTAATCAGCGGCATGGAGCCCAAGCTGACGTCCGTTTTCTGGGGGAGATAAAGAGTCACTAGGTATAAGGCCTTGAACCAAATACCGTGCTCTACTAACCAGTAGCAGACAGAAGGAAGAATTGTATAAACCTATAAAAGCTACCAATAATCTCTTTAGACTAAAGATACTTCTGGTTACATACAATGAGGGCAAGAAGCTGGTCTTCCTGGAGATGAACCACAGACGTGAACAGCCAGTATCAGGAGGAAGCAGGGCACAGGACAGAGTCTGGGAACAGGAGGCTTTACAACTAAAAGCAACTATAGGAATCCCCAAGGTCTTAGCTGGGCATGGTGGTGCGTGCCTGTAATCCCAGCTACTCAGGAGGCCGAGGCAGGAGAATTGCCTGAACCCAGGAGGCGGAGGTTGCGGTGAGCCGAGATCGCGCCATTGCACTCCAGCCTGGGTAACATGAGTGAAACTCCGTCTCAAAAAAAA